CTGCATTTGAGCCGCACTTAGCGGACCGCCGCANGCGGTGTTTCTACAAGCGCACCGCCTCCCGCGGCCGCTGTCTATATGCTCCTAAATCAACGCCTTCAGTTTCGGCGTGCCGCCACGGCGGGCTTCCTAAGCGCACTGCCTTCCGCAGCCGCGTGTCATGCATTTGAGCCGCACTTAGCGGACCGCCGCAGCGGTGTTTCTACAAGCGCACCGCCTCCCGCGGCCGCTGTCTATATGCTCCTAAATCAACACCTTCAATTCGGCATGCCGCCGCGGCGGGCTTCCTAAGCGCACTGCCTTCCGCAGCCGCGTGTCATGCATTTGTGCCGCACTTAGCGGACCGCCGTGGCGGCTTTTCTACAAGCACACCGCCTTCCGCGGCCGCTGTCTAAATGCTCCTAAATCAACGCCTTCAGTTTCGGCGTGCCGCCACGGCGGGCTTCCTAAGCGCACTGCCTTCCGCAGCCGCGTGTCATGCATTTGAGCCGCACTTAGCGGACCGCCGCAGCGGTGTTTCTACAAGCGCACCGCCTCCCGCGGCCGCTGTCTATATGCTCCTAAATCAACACCTTCAATTCGGCATGCCGCCGCGGCGGGCTTCCTAAGCGCACTGCCTTCCGCAGCCGCGTGTCATGCATTTGAGCCGCACTTAGCGGACCGCCGCAGCGGTGTTTCTACAAGCGCACCGCCTCCCGCGGCCGCTGTCTATATGCTCCTAAATCAACGCCTTCAGTTTCGGCGTGCCGCCACGGCGGGCTTCCTAAGCGCACTGCCTTCCGCAGCCGCGTGTCATGCATTTGAGCCGCACTTAGCGGACCGCCGCAGCGGTGTTTCTACAAGCGCACCGCCTCCCGCGGCCGCTGTCTATATGCTCCTAAATCAACACCTTCAATTCGGCATGCCGCCGCGGCGGGCTTCCTAAGCGCACTGCCTTCCGCAGCCGCGTGTCATGCATTTGTGCCGCACTTAGCGGACCGCCGTGGCGGCTTTTCTACAAGCACACCGCCTTCCGCGGCCGCTGTCTAAATGCTCCTAAATCAACGCCTTCAGTTTCGGCGTGCCGCCACGGCGGGCTTCCTAAGCGCACTGCCTTCCGCAGCCGCGTGTCATGCATTTGAGCCGCACTTAGCGGACCGCCGCAGCGGTGTTTCTACAAGCGCACCGCCTCCCGCGGCCGCTGTCTATATGCTCCTAAATCAACACCTTCAATTCGGCATGCCGCCGCGGCGG